GGGGTGCTCCCCGGTGCGCGGGCTGACGGGTGCGGGGGGGCTGGGGGGTGCAAACTGGTGAGGTCCGCACCCCGCCGCTTTGTCCCCAGATGCCAGCGTGCCCAACGTGCAGGTGACGAAGCTCACGCTGATGTGTGAGCAGGCGCCGGGGCCCATCACCATGGACCTGACAGGTGAGCAGTGGGGGCACCCGGGGAGGAGGAGAAGGAGGAGAAGGAAGGGGTGCCGGGCTCATGGGCCGACTCCCCGTGCAGGAGACCTGGAGGTACTGCGGGGCCGGGCCTTCGTGCTGAAGGAGGGGGTGGACTACAGGGTGAAGGTGTCCTTCAAGGTGAGGCGGGTGCATGGTGCCCTGTGCCCTCGCGCCCTGCGGTCCCAGCCCCGAGGGGTCCCTGCTGCCCTGGGGTCCCAGCCTCGAGGGGTCCCTGCTCCCCATGGGTCCCTTTTCCCATGTGTCCCTGCCCCGTGGGGTCCCTCCTGCCGCCCATGAGTCCCTGCTGCCCTGAGGATTGCTGCCAACCGGGGTCCCTGCTGCCGTGCGGTGTCTGCCCACCACCCCTCACCCCCAGGGATCCCTGCCCACCCTGATGGCCCTGCCTGCTCCGGGGTCCCTGCCCCCCTGACAATCCTTGCTGCCCTCAACATCCCTGCCACCCCAGGGTGACTGCCACTCCAGGGTTCTTGCCTCTCTTGGGGGTCCCTGCCACCCCAGGGACCCTGCTTCTCTGAAAGGTCCCAGCCACACTGGGTCCCTGCATTTCCCAGGGGTCCCTGGAGGTCCCTGCCCCTCCTGGGGGGGGTCACTGCCCCTTGTGGGGGTCCCTGCCACCCCGGGGTCCCTGGAGGTCCCTGCCCCTCTTGAGGGTCCCTGCCACCCCAGGGACCCTCCTTCTCTCAGCAGACATTTGGGTCCTTGCCTTTCCTAGGGGTTCCTGGAGGTCCCTGCCCTTCCTGGGGAGGGGGGGTCCCTGCCACCCCGGGGTTCCTGGAGATCCCTGCCCCTCTTGGGGGTCCCTGCCACCCTTGGTGCTGCTTGATGCCCCATCCTGCTCAAGTAGCTGGGCCCTGGGGGGGGATCCAGGATGGGGCTTTATAGGCGGGTGCCCCCACAAGGCCCTGGCTGGGTCCCCGAGGCTGGGGGGGCACTGTGCTGTGGGGCAGCACCCACGGCGCCCGTGCCCCCTGCCTGCA